AGAGGAGTCATAGGAGTCTTGGTGACCTCCCTCTCTAGTCTTCTTCTTGCTCGGTCCCTCAGTCTCTGAGGACATCCTGCTCCAGTCAGATCTACTCATGGTCCATGTTCCTTCCATGTCTTAATGATGGATTTAACTGGACTCCAGAGATGTTCAGTAACTTGGAGATGTTCTTGTATCGTCTCCTGACTGAAGCTTATCAACAACCTTTCCACAGAGTTCTTGGAGTGTTCTTCAGTCTTCATGGTGTNATCTCAGCTGCTGAAGCTGGAAACTCCTTCAGAGGAGTCATAGGAGTCTTGGTGGCCTCCTTCACGAGTCTCCTTCTTGCTCGGTCACTCAGTCTCTGAGGATGTCCTGATCTAGTCAGATCTACTCATGGTCCATGTTCCTTCCATTAATGAAGGATTTAACTGGACTCCAAGAGATGTTTTCTTGTATCGCCTCCTGACTGAAGCTTCTCAACAACCTTTCCACAGAGTTCTTGGAGTGTTCTTCAGTCTTCATGGTGTAGTTCTATCCAGGAGTTCTGATCCACCAGAGACTGGACCTTCCAGATCCAGGAGTCTTTCTTCTACCATCACTGAGACTCATTCACTGACCTCAGATGATCTTTACTTCACTAATAATGTGACTTCTGGCACCAACTTCCTGCACCTGAGTTCAATTATGTGACTTCAAAGGGGGTCAATGCTTCAGTTATTTCATGTTTTAATTGAGGGACGTCACTTTGTAGAAAACTCTTCACTTTGACATGAACGAGTCTTTTTTGTGAATTCAAATTAAATTGATTCACTGTTGAGAAGCAATAAAAGGAGAAACCTCCAAGGTCAGGTCTTCACTGCTTTGCTTCTTCAGATCTGCTCTAAAACATTTACCAATCGAGCCTCCGTGGGCCTCCTGCGACGTGGAGCTGCCTCAGCGTCTTACAGGAAACCAACGGTTTCTACATGCTTGTGATGTTTTCCTGTGATTTCAGCTGCTGCAGTAACAACAGTCATTTATCTCTAATGCGAGTCCCGATTGTTTCCCTTCTTCTTTTATCCGTGAAAGCCCCACAAGAGCCGGTGGAGGAAACTCCGGCTGAACTCCCACAGGTGCTCAGAAAACCTGACGTGAGCCGAGGAAAGCGTTTGTCCTCCTCCAGCCGCTCAGAAGGCAGGAAGACAGAGGAGTCATCGCCGGGCCATCGATCCTGAATCCTTCAGCGTCACTCAGGAGACGGGATGTACGACGATCACTGTTTTCAGGCCGAAGCTGGTCTCGTTTACTTTTTCTTCCCCCTTTAAAAATGTGTGTGGAGCCGTCGGCAGTACGTTAACCTGAAAACTGTCGGTTCACATGATCGTTCTTCGTCATTAAAGGCGTTTATGTGACGTTAACGTGCTGCCGTTGTTCAGACAGCAGCCAGACGGTGGAGGATTCTTTAAGCGTTGCACTCTGGGAGCTTTTCACAACGTTTTCTTACATTTCTGCCTCCAGTCTGTTCCTCCATGTTCTGCAGGTGGAACCTTGTTGTAAAGCTCCAGTAGGACACCGTCTGAATGTAGAGTTAGAAGGTAAATATAGAGTTAGAAGGTCGGCTGCACTGAAGCTCCAACACATGGAGAAAACCTGTATTCTCTACATGATGTCAGTGAACCTATCATAGACCAGCTGTAGTACCTGTTTGTTCCACCAGGTGGAGCCTCTCACTGTTTAATCCTGTAGGGACCAGAGGAGGTGTCACTCAGGCTACAGCTCATGTTAGCAGCAGAGAGCATTGTGGGAGGTTAGCTAGCAAGTTTGAATGCAACAAGTTTTGAGTCATTTTATACTAAATCTGGATAATTTTGGAGACGTTTTAGGACGTTTTGGTCAAGTTTTTTGGAGTTTTAGCTGTATGGCAATGCCAGAGAGCATTGTGAGAGTTTAGCTAGCAACGGGACCATGACGGAGACTTCTGAGGAGGTTAATGACCTCCACAAATAATCCAGGAGGGTTCGCCCGTAGAAGCTAACGTAAGCTAGCTGAGTTTACGGCAGATGGTTTAAAAGTGGCTTCATCACAACACCGAACGATGTCCGTTGTACTTAATGTGACTTATCAATGAAAAATGATTGATTAAGAACGTGGTCGACTGTGGGTATTATTTGCATCCCTCGTAGCAGCAGAGGAACTCTTCAACGTCGGTTAAACAGGTGTCAGAGAATCTTACCAACTTGTGGAGTTACGTTTTGTTCTGGCCGGAGTTAAATTTTTCCTTGAGCCGTGAAAAATAAATCTCAGTTGTGACAGAAACTTTAAAGTCTTTCAGGTTTGTTTCTGTTTCATCAAGAAAATAATCAGCCTTGAACCGAAACGTTTCGACGGCTTCACCGGAGGATGAATCGTGTCCCTCTGAGGATGAACAGCGGCCATTTCAACGAGCGATAAAAATCCAGTCATCGCTTCGTTCGTTCCACCAGGAGAAAACAAACGTTTGATAATTGATCGACTGCTAATTAATCAAACACTTAAAGTTTTCTTGATCTTTCAGAGGGAATGTTTTGGGTCTTTGGAGACGAAACAAAGTGAATCAAATATTCGTCTGAAAACATCAGGTTGAGCTTTTCTTGGTCTCACTTTATAACAAACTGAATATTCTGGAGGGTTGTTTGGTTGTTGGTTGGACCGAACTCGACAGTTCATCAGTTTCTGCTCCACAACGTTTTACTGATGTTCTATAAACCAAACGATTAATTAAATAATCATAATTTCTGCTTTTCTTGGTCTCACGTTCTGTTAAATTGAGCCTTTTAAAGGTTGGATGTTTTTCACTCTTTAGTTTGGACGAACCGTCACAGTGTTCTGTTCAAATAAACTTTAACTCAATTATAAAACAGCGTGAGACCAAGAAAAGCAGCAGATTATGATTGTTTAATTAATCGTTTGGTTTATAAAGCATCAGTCAAAGGTTTAGGAGCAGAACCTGGTTATCAGCGTCTAGTTTAGTCCGACCAGGAGCCAGAAACCCTCCAAGATATGAATTTATTACAGAGTGAGAGGAAGAAAAACTCCCTGTGGAAGCTTCCAGACCAGCGTTTGATCCGTCAGCTGCTTTATGACTGAATATTTCTACTCAGTGAAAACCAGACGAGGTTTCTGAGTTCCCCCCCGTCCAGGCCTCGGTATCGCCTCGTCCTCTGATTGTTCCAGGACTCAGATTGTCTTTGGCATCGGGCTCCAGAGAAAATGTTTGGCCTGTTTGTTTTTCTAGCAATTAGGCTGAGAGCGGCGCTAACGCAGACGGCTAATGGTCCTCGGAGAGCCGCCTGAGTCAACACTGGGCTGCGTGAGCGTCCACGCCGTGGTTCTGTTCGCTCGGCCGTGTGAACCTGGACGTGAACATGTTGGTTTTCCCATCCAGCGCCGGCCCGCTCTGCTCCGCGTCGCCACGGCGACAGCAGAGACGGATTCCAGCTTCGTCTGTTGCCGTTAGCGGCCGAGCGTTAGCGACCGCTTAGCTCCAGATTTAAGGGAAACCTGTCGACTGGAGGTTCAGGCTGAGCTGAGGAGCAGCTTGAGCTTCAGAAAACAGCTGCAGCTCGTCAGTACGGCGACGAGTTCGTTAACGGGAAGCAACTGATTTGCTCGTTAGTCGTCAAATGTTTGATGTTTCCATGTGTCGAGGCTTTTCTTGGTCCTTCAGTGTCAAAAAGTTTTCTGCCGTCTAACGGAGCGATTCATTAATTAATCATTAAAAACAGTCTGATGAAGAAAGTCTGGTTCTGTCCGGTCGATGACTTCTGGACCAAACGACTGATCATCAATTATCTGTTAATCATCAGTAACAGAAATAAGAACGAGCATTTCCTCCTACAGCATCTGAGATGTCATTATTCTCTGTTTTATTCACCAAACATTGATTGATTGATTGATTGATTGATTATTAAAACAGACGATAAAGAACAATTATTAGCTTCAGTCATAAAAACAACTTTCTGCTCGTTTCTGTAAATTTTCTGTCTCGTTTTACGACCTTAAAAATCTGATTATTGTCGTTTTAGAAGCAGAAAATTAACCTTCGATGGTCGATTAAATGATAATTAAGGTTTCATGGCTGCTTTTGTTCAATCACGAAACCAGTCGTCTGATCAGCTGACGATGAGAATTCTGATCATCGATTATTGATTATTGATCGTCACAAACGAGCTCTAGCTTGGATGTTCTGTGGATCCATTGATGTGACGTTCTGCAGAACAATCAGCTGATTAACGGTGAAAACAGGCGTCAGAACCGATGACGTCGGTCGTCTGAAGACTTCCAGAGAAACGTTCTGATCCAACGTCGGTTTGATGGATTCAGAGGAAAACATGAAACCTGCCGTTAGTTCAGATCTAACTTCCTGTTTGCGTCGTTTATAGCTGAACGGTTTGGACCGGTCCAGAACCAACGTGTGACTTTGCTGCTGTTCTTTGAGTCTGAATGATTTTTGTCTTTTTGCTGAAGTTTTATGGAACAAATCCGACGAACAGAACCGTCAGCAGCAGTGGTTCTTTAATGACTTAAAACCCAAACTAGCGCCGTGTGATGAAGGTTCTGGTGTCGGTTTGTGAGCGTCCAGCTGTGTTCACATGTTCCCTCAGACTGGACCGTTCCCAGCAGCCGTAAGTCTTTTAATTGAGAATTAAAGCTCCGCCGTCGTATCAGTGATTTATGGACCCGACCCGGTTCTGGGTTCTGCTAGTTTGTCTGAGCCGGAGGCCGAGCAGCTGAGAGAAATACGAGCGTGAAGCTTTTTTATTTGGTTTTCTTTCGTGTGAATTCCCTCAAAGTCCGGCTGCATTCTTTCTCAGGCAGCTTCTGTTTTTTTCTGAAAACGTGGAACCAGACGGATTCATCACCGCCGTGTGCCATCGAGACAAACGGCTTGTTGGGCTTCAGCGCCGAGCTCAGAGGTTTGTTCTCCAGCCTGGAGGTCCTGGAGGTCCTGGAGGTCCTGGAGCGACGCCTGACGCTGTGTTTGTTTGCTTCGGCAGCGCGAGCAGGAGAACGCCATGAACCGGCTGAAGAAGCAGCAGGAGGAGCTGGAGGCCATGAGGCTGCGTTACCTGGCAACCGAGGAGAAGGAGGCGGCGCGGCAGGAGCGGCAGGAGCTGGACGGCATCCGGAACCAGCTCAACAGGTACCGACCCACCTGGAGTGGTTCTGCTGCAGGGACACAAAGACGAGCAGCAAATAAACTAAAGGAAGTTCTAACGTTAGTTCAGGGTTTCATATGAAGACGTTCACTGCATGTGTTCAGATTTCTAGTTTTATGGCATCATGTGACCTTCAGTATTTAATTTATAGATTTATTAATAAATATCTAATAAATAAAAAACTCTGAAGTTCAGACGGGGTTCGCTGACCCAACCCAGATATAATAATTACATTTATTACGTAGAATGAAAGAAAAAATCTATGAAACGTGACGTTAATCTAGAAAACAATTGTCAGCGTCGACTTTAATTAGCTTCGTAGGAACTTCCTGTAGTGATTAAATAATTAAACATTATTCTGCTGATGGAAAACGTCTCCGCTGGAATCTGGC